GAAGTAGAAACAAGGCCTCTGGGGGGCAACAGAGAGCAGGGACTGGGGTGGCCATGCCTGTCACAAACTTGCTGAGGCACATAAGCCATTCTGAAGACAGAGACATGAGCAAAGGCAGAGGGAGAAGCCAGGACGAGAGACCCAGAAGCCAGGGCACAATCCTGGTGGCTCCCGGTTCCGGTATCAGTCCCTCATGCGGCCCGACTGGAAATTCTGCCTTTGGGTCCCGCAGAGCACCCCTATTTCCTTGCACCACTTTCTGGGAGCTAGAGGGGAGCTATGTTTCTTGTCCAAAGAGACACAGGGATAGCAGGCAGGAAAGAGATGAATCGTGAAAATGACTGAAGCTGTGGGGAGAGGGAAAGAGAGCTCAGGAGGCCTTCTTGACCAGCCAAGATGGAGCCAGAAGTTGGAGTGAAGGAAGTGGCAGGTGCACTACATGGCGGAGTGGTGAGGACTCACCCAGAGACACCAGGAGCCCACGGTTTTCCAGCATCACCTCCTGGTACAGGGTCCTCTGGGCGGGGTCCAGCTGCCCCCACTCCTCCTGGGTGAAAGTCACGGCCACATCATCGAAGGTCACAGACATCTGGAAAGTCAGACCGACACAGGAGCATTAGCCGTGGATGGGATGGAATCAGAGCTTGTCTCTGCCTTGCTGGTAAAGGTGCAGGAAGATCAAGGCCCTAATCACAGAATACCTCCTGAAGGCCAAGTGCTCTGTGCTGGGCTGAAGGGGAGGTGGACAACATTCTGGGCATAACATGATACTGGCAGACCTCAGAAATTTTGTGGGTTTGGTTCCAGACCACCACAGTAAAGCGAGTCACGTGACTTTTTTGTTTCCCAGTGCATTTAAGTTATGTTTACTCTACACTGTAGTCTATAAAGTGCACAATAGCATTATATTAAAAAATGTAGATACCTTAATTAAAAATAACTTTATTGCTAAAATATACTAACCATCAGCTGAGCCTCCAGCAAGCTGTAATCTTTTTGCTGGTGGAGGGTCTGAACTACTGTGAGAACAAAAAGTAACACAGAGACCCGAAGTGAGCAAATGCTGCTGAAAACATGGTGCTGATACACTTTCTGGACACAGGGTTGCTATAAATCTTCAATTTGTAAAAACACAATATCTACAAAGCACAATAAAGTGAGGTACGCCAACAGTGTAAGAGAGACGAGCCTCCTACAGAGGAGCCGTAGGAAAATGGCACAATCGACGGAAATGACATTCAACCTGTGAGATACAGACAGAAAGGGCTCTGGGACGTCAGAGGAATGAATAAGTAATGACAATAATAATATCAGTAACATGTATCAGCAGCACTAGCAATAGCTGAGCCTCCCTGGTCCTGCTATGTGCTGGCCCCATGCCGAGGGCTTTATGTCTTATCTAAAAGCAACTAAGCCCCAGCTTCTCAGTCATCATTTCCACCACTATCTCTCCACTAAAAACACTCCGTATGGAGTTTGATTTGTTATCGTTACTCCCACCACCATATTCTGTACCTTCTCCTCAATGTCAAATGTCCAGCAGATGCAGAACCACATCCTACATGACCAAAACCACTAAATGAATATACACAGTTCGGCCACTCTCACAGCAGCAGCCCCACCACTGAAATGCTCCAAGGCACTGACGCATGGCTTTTCACCTGCACCTTTAGTGCTCACACCTCTGTGCTTTCTAGCTTCACCCTCTCTAACAGTTTTCTTGAGTTAATATTTCCATCAAGCACCTGGAAATTCCTAATTAACTGGTGCATATACAGAATCCTACAGTATCACTCACTTCTGGTGCTGGATAAACTCACATCACTGGTCACATTTGGGGCAGGTAGATGAGGACAGAGAAATCAACTAGGGCCTCAACAGTGACAACCAGATGATGTATGTTTAAACAATGAAAACTCTCTGGCGTGCGATAATACAGCATCCTATATGACTGTATTATCGCATATTTGGCTTTCTCTGGTTGGTCTTGAGTTACAAGTGAGGAAAGAATTATAGAAAGGGCCCATTATTAACCTAGTCCTGGCCATTTGGGGCGACTGTCACAGAAGTCACTGCTTCGCTTCCTGGACTGTCTCTGGAGATAGGAATCTGGCTTCTGGCAAGCCTGACTTAGACCGGGCCGGGTTCCTGGGTTGCTGACTGTAGATAAGAGGCTGGATTCCTGGGCAGGTTGTGTGTCGAAGCTCTGTTTTCATATACGTCTGCCTACTGTCCACTTGTATATTCAGTCTCGCGTGTTCTAAGCCTGGAGATAAAGTCAGTGACAAGCCAGCTCCTCTTGTCGTACACAAACACAACTGCAAAGAGAAGTCTAGTGCCTTTCCAGACTTCCACCCCGCTCAGGAGCCCTCTCCGAGCCAGCAGAGAAACCGCAAAGCCAAAAACGTCGTCCACTCACCCGCGCCGGGTCCGTCCACGCCGCCGCCATCATGGGACGCTGTGGAGAGAGCGGCCCGGAGACGCGGCGACAGAGGCGGGTCCCGCGGGCTCAGCCGACCGCCACTCCTCCTCTGCCCTGGGCGGGGTGACCGCTCACCGGGAGGCCCACGGCTCGCTCAAACGCGCGGAGGTGAGTGCTGACCTCCTCTCTGTTCATTTGCGGAGACCGGACTAGACACCTTCGCAGAACAGCTACCCCCTCCCCTCAGCTGGCGTGGACGGAACCGTAGCACACCAATGACGTCCAGCACCAGTGGGCCGGAAGTCCCGCCCCCCGCAGGAAATGCCCCGACCCGGGTCGTTATTGGCCCAGCGCCTGCCGCCGTCACGCGGTGCAAAGCCTTCTGGGTAACGTAGTTTTTCTCTACAAACAAGCAGCCGCGTGTCGCGTCCTAGAGCCGGTCTTCCTCCGTGTAAAACACTTAACCAGGCCTGGAGCCCAGCATCAGAGCCGCCTCTTCACCGTGGGCACAACTCGGAGGAGCGGAGGAGCAGGAGCGAGGCCGTCCATTCCACCCTGGGGGAAGCTGGGGCTCAGGAGACGGGGACATTCGCCCGGGGTCAGGCCTGGGGAAAGGCCGCGAAGCCCGGCCCTAGGCTCGCCTGGGGACTTCTCCGTGCGCCTGGCCTCCTAGATGCTTTTCTAGGGGCTACGGACAAGCGAGCAGTCAAAATAACCGCCAAAAGGAGGACGCCGGAAGTCTCCTTCCCACGCAGTGCGCATGCACGGACCCGGCTCTTATGGGCGTCTTTTGGCCCTGCGCCTACTTCGCATGATGCACTGACCTCTGAGTAATAGACTTAGCCCGGAGCACCCTACAGCGGCTTTGTTATCCTCTGAGGTGCGGAGGCTGCAAGCAGGGGTGGCTTGGAGGGAAGCTGAGGACTCCAATTTCAAGCGTGGTCAGTTTGAAATGTCTGCAAGACCACAAAGTGTCTGTTTTAAGGAAGGCACTTAACCTGTGTATGATCAGTGGGAAAGGGTTCGTTTCTGGATATGTACGTTTGGGAGTTGATAGCGTATACGATTATTTCAAGTCATGATACTGGATGAGACCAACAAAAGAAAGAGAATAGATGGGGAAAGGAATGGACAGGGGTGAACTCTGAACCAACTCAACATTGACTAGTTGCAGAAGAGAAACCAACAAAGTCATGTTAGGATTCCTAACATTCCTTCTAGAATTATATTACTCAAAGTCTTAGAAGTCACCTCAATGTCCTTTTGTTTTCTTCTCATGACTTTGAAGGTGAGAGAATAAAATCTAGCTTCTAATGAGTTGAGAATACATATGGTATGAAAATGGAAACATGGTGTGCAGAAAATGCCCTGATTTAATTTTAAAGGTGGAGAAAAGCATAGTGACAGGATGTTAATTGAGCCAAGGATTAAGCTGGAGTTAAATTTCCCATAAGGTACTGTTTATAAAAGGAGGTTATGGAGAAACGTGGCTCAGTTTGTGCACAAGGAACAATGTTAGCCATCACTGGCAACAGTAATTTGCCCAAATTGGAAGATAAACGTAATTCTTCTTTTCACATGTGGTTGACCCTTACAGTTAAATGGTTTTGGGTTAGGTTGTAAAACAGATATTAACGTTTTTATATTCTTTGTGTGATGGGAGGCAGAATGTCTGGAATCAGTGCAGGTGAGGAAAGCTATGTAGCCATTGGAGAAACTTTGAAATTCCTACTGTAAAACATCTCAGAGTTTTAATTGTTTAAACATATATCATTTGGTTGTCACTGTTGAGGCCCTAGTTGATTTTTCTATCCTTATCTACCTGCCCTAGATGGGCCCAGTGATATGTTTAACCAGCACCAGAAGTGAGTGATATTGCAGGATTTTTATATATGAACCAGTTAATTTATTAGGAGTTTCCAGGTGTTTGATAGAAATATTAACTCAAGAAAACTGATAGAGAGGGTGAAGCTAGAAAGCACAGAGGTGTGAGCACTGAAGGTGCAGGTGAAAAGCCATGCGTCAGTGCCTTGGAGCATTTCAGTGATGGGGCTGCAGCAGTTGGGGCTGCTGCTGTGAGAATGGAGTGGCTGGACTGTGTATATTCACTTCATGGTTCTGGTCATGTAGGGATGTGGTTCTGTATCTGCTGGACATTTGACATTGAGGAAAAGGTACAGAATAACATGTTTGTAACATTAACAGGGCAAACTCCACAGTTCTTAGTCAGGAGACAGTGGTGAAAAAGATGCCTGCAAGGAGCAGAAAACATGTTTCAGCTCCCCACTGAGTTGTCTAGATGTTCATGCTGGTGCAGTCACCTTACGAATGAAGGGGGAAGTTGCCGCATGAAAGTGCAACAGAAGGGTATGGGTGGGTATAGCTCAGCGATAAGTGTGTGTGTTTAGCATGCAGGAGGTCCTGGGTTCAATCCCCAGTACCCCATTAAAAGAATAATAATAAAAAAAAGAGTAAATAAGTAAAAATAAGAATAAATAAATAAACCTAACCACCTGCCCCCACCCCACAAAAATAAAGATTCTACCCAGTCACACACCAACATTTACAACTCTAAAGACCCGGTACAGAATGATTCAGCTTTTATTAACTAACATGATGCATCTTAAAAGAGAAGAAACAAAAGACAGATGAGAGACCAGAGCCAGGGGTGCTCCATGGGCAATCACAAAGGAATGGGGGTGGACAGGGCTCAGGAGGCCATTTGAGCAGACGGAGGCAGCACCCTCCGGGAGTGGGCCCGGACCCAGGGGTGCTCCAGGATCTGGACCAAGGGCAGCCGCTCCGAGGGCTGGTATCGGAGAAGCCTGGAGATCAAGTCCTGAGCCCCCAGAGGTATTAATGGGGGAAACCTTACATCTACCTGATGGGGCCAGAGAAGAAAGAGAAGTATGGTTACTTTCCTTGGTCCACTTGAGGTGCTGTTCTGGAGCTTAGTAGAGAAGCTGCGGGTGTACCCCAGGCTCTGCAGCCCAGCCACCAGCCCCCACTGACTAGCTCCCGCACGACTGCCCTGACTGGCCATCCCACCTTGAGGATTCGTCTGTAGGTCTCGTTGTAGGAGGTGCTCTCAAAGGGCGGGCTTCCCACCAGCAGCTCATAGCAGAGCACCCCAATGCACCAGAGATCCACCTTCTCATTGTATGTTCTCCCCTCGATCATTTCTGGGGGCAGGTAGTCCAGAGTCCCGCACATTGTCTTTCTCCTGGAGGAGGGCAGAGAAAGGAGCACCAAGCAGAGTCTTAGTACAAGGGAAACTCCCCTCCCGCAGCTTCCAGGGAGACGGGAGACCCTAGGAACTCCCGAGCAGTCCCCTCCCAAGCGTAGGAGTTTGGAAACACCAAGTTTTAATATGGATCAAGGTTTGGAGAAGGCAAGTACTAGGACCTTCCAACTCCATATTTTGGGATTCTTCAGCAATTATTTAGCTCATGATCCAGGATGTTTTCACAAGAAGATTGGGAACAAACTGATGGTGCAACAAGAGGAACCAAGTAAATTAATTATAGTTGACTTATACAGTGAAATTCCTAGAATTATGGAGCAGTGGTTCTTAATTTATTTACATGGAAACTTATTGGTAAAGTTATATGTTAACAGAGGTTAAAAAATTAAAGATATGCTTGAACCACATTTTCTCAGTCTACAAATACCTATGAAATATATGCATTTGAAAGGCAGTATTTAAATACAAATGCAGGTTTGTATCGGGGTCTTATATGTTAAATGAATTAAACTGGGTCATTCTTTTTTCTTTTTTTCTTTTATATTATCTTGGTTTATTTTGGGTTTTCTGAGTCAGCTGTATACTTTTGTTTGTTTGTTTTTTAAATACATTAACTCATTTACTTTAAACAGACAGTCATATAAGCTCAAACACATCCTAAAAAGAATGAAAAAAATCTGTTTTCCTGCTCCTCTCTCCCTAAACTGGGTCATTCTTAACTGGCACCCAGGGTGCCACCCCCGAAATACCTTAGAGAAGGGGTGTGCACAGACCAGCCGAAGTCTGCAATCTTCACCTCACCCCTGAACCCTAGCAGCAGATTCTCCGGCTTGATATCCCTGTGAATCACCTTTTTTTCATGGCAGTAGGTCAGAGCATCTGCCAATTCCTCCATTATCTGTGAGAGCAAAGAAAGAGCAGTCTGGGAATGAAGCCTGCCATGCTCTGATTCCCCATCTGCAGCCCTCCAAAAATCTCTTGCTCCCTCTTTCCGTGAACTCCCTCATAGCCTTTTCATGTTTCTTTCCATAAGATAGTGCAGTTAGATTCTGTTGCTTACAACCAAAGAATCCAAACTTAAACACACTGCTTGTTAATATTCTAGGGGTGATTAAGGTATTCAAGTGTGAAGCTGTGGGATATGAGTCACGTAAAATATATAGAATCAAATTCAGAAATAAGGAAAGAAAGCAATCGTGACACTCATAACAGCCACAAGCAGTCACCCCCACCAGCTCATAGTAAATTCACGAACCCCTGAGTCCTCAGCCCCCCACATCCCCACCTCACCGTGGCTGTACGCTGTTCATCTAATGTGTGATTCTTCTGCAGTTCCTTGTAGAGCTCACCCCTTGGAGCATATTCTAGAATCAGGTACACCCGGCGTGCATCATGGAAGTAGTTATACAGGCGTAGGATATTGGGGTGTCTGGAGGACAGAAGGAAGAAGTGTCAAGACTCTTCCCTGAGGCCCAATTCATGATGCTATTACAAGTGACTGGTCACACGAGGGGCAAATTCTGCTGGGACCAGAATAATAACAGCATGATCTGGAAGTTTGCAAGGGGAAAACAGGCAACAGGTATCAGGATTCGGGTGTTTGACACAGGGAGCTTTACATGGTGTAACTGGAATAAACGGCAGAGGAAAAATCTTCAAGGTGAAAGCAGAGGGCCTGGTTAGGGGTAGTAGCGGGAGGAATGCTGAGTTCAGATGTCAGAGATGGAAGAGGAAACAGAGCAAAAAACAAAAGAACAAGTGTAGGCATCTCACACAGAGACTGTCCTTACTGTAGGTGCGCCTGGATTTCAATTTCTCTGCGGAGCTGGTGTTCCAGCCCTTCCTTTTCTATCTGGGACTTGAAGAGGACTTTCAATGCCACAATGAAGTGGCTTTCCTTGAGCCGAGCCAGGTACACATTCCCAAATTTTCCCTTGCCGAGAGGTCGCCCGATTTCAAAATCGTCAATAGTGAAGCGCCGCCTGACAGACGGAAAGAAACAAGCCTCAGTTTCGGAGGTAGGTGGGGAGTCAGGGATCCCAAATGCTCGCCTTCCTCTCTCACTTTACCCTCCTTAGGCCCCTTTCCCTCCTCCAGGGCCCAGCCAAGTTGTTTGGTCAATAACCGTCAGTCCCACGAGCCAACACTTCACACGTGCAGCTGGCTCGTCATCCCTCGGTCCCACTTCCTTCCTCCTCCAGATACAAAACAGAGGAGCTCACATGTTTGGTATGCTGGGCATCGTTTGACCTGCTGCAGCTACTGAAGAAAAGACAAGAGATGTCACTACTTTCTTCTGTGCGCCCCCACCCCCAACAACGGACACTAGGATTTTCTTATAAACGCTTTCTCTGGTCCTGGTACTTATCCCTCCTTTCACCTGCGGTTTGACCCTGGCCCGACTTCGTAACAGCCTCTGGATGGCTCATGAGAAGGAGAGATGGTGGTGAGGAGGACGCCTTCCTGAGTTCTGTGGAACTGGGTGTCCTGAAAAGGGGTGGCAGGAGGTCACACTCGGGCTGAGGCTCTTCCAACGCCGACCTGCTCCCACGGCAGCCGCGGGGCAGTGACTGGGCCGGCACCGCCGGAAGGGACCCCCGCAGCTCACCAGCGAAGACACCCACTACTGAGTTGGGGACGATCCTAGAGTACGCGGGCCAGGCCTTTTATAGTGTGTACGTTAGCCCCATTGGCTGAGCGGGTAGTTCCTGGCTGACTTCCATTGGTTGAAATTTCTGAGGCTTAGGCAGCGTGCCCAATAGAAGAGACAGGAATGGGAGCTTCCACCCGTGGCTGGGGGGCGGGACTGAGGGCGCTAGGCCAATGAGAGGCAGGGCACGGAGACCGGAAGGCGGAACCCCGGCGAAAACGCTGGAGCAGAGGGAACACGAGAAACCGGAAGGGGAGGCGGGGGGTGTGGAGGGCGTAGGATATACACGGCCTGCGTGAATGAACAGGTACATCCACCCGTGAGGGCGCGAGGCGTTCCTGAATCGAGTGACCCGACGCAGTATACACCCACCGCCGGAAGCTGCCGGGGTGCCCCGTGCAGTTGGCAAGCTCCAGAACCACGTGCACGCGCCCCTGGCCCCTGCGCGAACGGCGTGTACGACTCAGGCCACTGCCCGGGGCCTCCTCAGTCACTTACATACGTGAGGGTCACCGCGATGAAGCTCCTGAGATTTGTGCCTCTGGCTCCCAATAGCCCGTGCTTTTGGGCCCTGCCCCAACCCGCCGGCCTCCCCCAGCCCAGGACCGCCCCGGGCATCTGGCGGTGGGGGTGACGTGCACGGCTGCGACACCCTCCCCTCTCGTGCACACGTTCTGCATCCAGGGATTCAACCAACCTAGGTTGGACCCTGTAATCAGTTTGCAATGTTGAGTCTCAAATAGTAAAATCAGTCCACGTGTTTATTTGTTTGGCATATACAGAAATTCCAAAAACATTTAAAATGGAATTCTTTGTTTTTTAATGGAAGTACTGGGGATTGACCCCAGGACCTTATGCATGCTAATGACGGCTTAAACCAGAGTCATGATGGGAGGTGGTTTATCACAAAGTACAAATAACAGAGTATCAGAGGATTAGTAATCAAAGAAAACGTGGATATGAGTGTTAACGGCCAATAAGATGGATGGATTAATTCTATCCATACCCCACACTGCCTCCTGCAGGTGCTGGACACATTCCTGAGGATGCCATGGTGCACCTGTTACAGAAATGCCTTACTCCGTGTACATGCTCAGGCAGACATGGCTGTCTTGCTGTAACAGAGCTTGGGCCAAGGGCCTCGAGCTGGGGACAGGGGCAGTGTGTGGACACTGCAGTAAAGGGTTAACTAAGCAGGCTTCCGTTACTCCGGTTACTCCAATACTACACATTCCAAAGAAAGGACTGACCCTGGATCAGCTCCAGGAAGACCGCCTCTGAGTCCTTGGAGTATCTTGCCTGGTAAGGGTGATTTTTATGCTTCTGTCTGTAGGTCCCACTGTATCATGACCAGATAACTTATGCTAACAGTGTGACCCACGGAGCAGGGTGGGTTTTGTATGCCTGAGGCAACGCTCTATCTTTGCCTTCTGATACATGGTCGGTCACTTAGGCACTGCATGCCTCAGTAAAGAAGTCTGTGGACCCTGAAGCTTGGGTGAGTGCCCCTTGTTGGTGACAACTGAATGTGCTGACACACATCTTTGCTGAAAATTTGAGTCCCCGTGCACAGGCGACACCGGCAGCTTGTGCTTGGTCTCTCCTGGCTGTTACCCTACGTGCCTTTCCCTTTGCTGATCTTGGTCTGTGTCCTTTTGCTGTAATAAAGCCATGAGTATCAGAGCTCCGGAGTCTATAGTGACTCAGAAGGGTTAAAATTTACAAACGTGGGGGTCACGGATGACCCTGGCCAGGGTGGTGCAGAGGGTGAGAATCTAGCAAAGCAGTTCAGAAGGTAAGGAGGTCTGGGGAGTGGAGAAAAGTAGAGTGAGCAGTAATGGCGACGTACAATTATTACAAGCAGAGGAAAACCGTCCCACAGGGGCTCCTCAGTTAAAGGCAGAGGGAGGAAAGGAGTGAGATGTAGGGAAGAGAGTGGTGCCTGGCCCTCAGGGCAACGTGTGAGGACAAGTCAGAGAGGGTGAGGGACAGAACTTGCAGGTGACAAGTAGGCTTTAGGCAGCTGAGATCACACACCAGGCACAGGTCGAGCAGACTCTACGGTGGGGAAAAGGGTGATGCTTGCTGAAGTGACTCCAGGTTTCAAGGAGAGACAGTGAGGAGAGCACAGTTCAAATGCGTGTGAAGATTTGTACCTAAAAGCAAGGACATGCAATGGAACCAGAAAGAGCAGTAACAAGCAGAGATGTTGAAAGATGCAGCAGCTACACATAAAGGGGTGAGAGGTGACAAGGGTGTCCGTCAACTGGAAGGTGATCAAAAAAAAAAACCAAATGTAGCGGGACTTGGCAGACAGCACAGAGAAAAAGGCACTTCTTCCTTCGAATCTGAAAAAGTTGGAGAAATGATATAGGGAGACTATGACATTGTGATTAACGAGCTTGTGGTTCCCAGTTAGTTGCACTTGGTCCAAGTGCTGGCTTTTGAGAAGGGCACCTGGAACAATCTTCATAAAAGCCAAACACCAGGGGGGATGAGCAGGATCTTACTAACACCACAGCCCCTCAGTACCTGCTTTCCACCTGCTCACCTGGACACAGTTCTGCTGTCCCTGGCTCTCCACACTGTTCCAACTTAAAAGATCACATCTGCCTGGGTGCACTCACACCGTTTTCCAGAAATGGCTGATCCGGTTTGCTAAATTCTCAGTATTTATCGTTCTAATGCTTTTGGTATTGTTTTAAAACACAGGACTTATTATGCTGACATGAGGCCAACAGATCAGACTGCCATTGAAGAGACAGTTACTTAGAGTTCTGGGAGAGCGAGGGCCATGCCAGGCTTCACAGGGTCACGTGGGGAAGCATCAGAGTCGAGTCTGAGGCAAAACAACGGAGGGGGGCAACGTGGGCAAAGGCTGGAAGTTTCGCTGGGAGGAACAGACAAGGTGAAGCAAGCAGGCTAAGCAGGCTTAGGATGAGCTAGTTTGGATAATTTCAGTGCAAGTCAGAGAGTAGGGACTGCCAGGGTATCCAGGGGAGGGTCCTGAAGTAAGAACTCGACAGAGGCAGTGGTTGAGGGCTCTGGGGGTCTGGAATGGTTGGTCTGCATGGGACAGGCACACTGCTGGGGAGTCCTGAGCCACCTGGAGGAATGAGCCAGCCCTAGGAGGAGCAGCAGCTCTAGGGACCAGAGGTCCCACCTGTTAGAACTTCAGAATAAACACACATGCTGTAACATGTGGATATCCAAAATAAAGTCACCCGGCAGGTAAGAACAAGGTCAGGAAGTACAAACAGGAAGTCAGACCACAGGGCCAACCACCCTGACATGGCTCTGAGGGAGGCGAAGCTGCCTGTGTACAATTCAGCACAGACCATTTAATTGAGAGATGTGTAACAGACCTGTGAGCAAACAGATTACAGGCCTTTAACCCGCAAAACAAGGGCGAGGTCAATGAGCATTCCAGAGGCACTGCAGCATCCTGTGACGGGGACAGGAAAGGTGACCTGTGGGCCAGAGTGCGGGTCAAAGAGGGAGTGGCTCATACTCGCAGAGACCAGAGGTCCCCAGCATCATGTCTCTGGAGCGGACCCCCCAGCTGGAGCTGCCTGCTCACATGGATGCCTGACTGTGACCGAGCCTAGCCTGAAACAGTGCAGTCTTGAATTCAAGTTAGGTGCACAGAATACGCACATATTCCTTACTTCTCTCTCCACTGAAGACAGGCAGAGTATCCATAGCTGGAACAAAGAGATGAGAAACTGTTGACTTACGTGCTATATTAACACACAGCATGGATCTGGGCTTTACATCTTTATAAAGGGTCAACAGTGGGTATATCTGCAAGTCAGACCACTTGAAGCCATACATATTATATACACACATATATATGTGTATATATATATATATATATATATACACACACACATCTACTCATATATTATACGCATCCAGTACATACACGTTTACACACATGTATGGCCCTAAGTGGTGTACACACACACATACACGCGTACGTCAGTATCAGGAGGGCAAGGTCCTTCTTACCAGACCTCCTCTGTACTTTGTCATCATTGAATTAAGTTCCGGCTAGTTGGTTAAGTTCTACATTGGCTTAGTGAGTTTTGTATTTGGTTACAATGCCTTCACCTCAAAGTTATGACTCTTAGTTTTTGTTGTAGGAAATTGTATTTGCTTAGTGTTCATTACAGAAATCTGAGTTAATCATTTAAGCCACTATGAAGACCTAACACAGCAGGCCTGAGATTGCTATTCTTTGAGCTTGCGAGGTGCACCCTGGGCTGAGGTCTGGGACCTTAGATTTTGGGAGATTTCCCGCCACCCCCAGAAATGAGTGGCTCAGTGTTCCCAAATTTTTCTGTAACCACGCAGCCTACACCGAACATCTGCCATCCTTATGGAGGTCCAGAATTTGGTTTATGTGCTAGAAAGCACATCCCCACCAAGAAACTCTGGGCACTGGGGCTCTAATTAGCTTCCGTAGTAGACATTTCAATCTACTGTCACAACTCCTCGATAAAGTTTAAATTAAGCACGTCCTGTGTGACCTCCCTGACACAGGATTACTGCAGACTGTTCCTGGTTCCTCTGGACTTCAGTCCTTGCGCCTCTTCCCTTGGCTGAGCTTGCTTTGCTTCTTTTTGGTGTAAATAAATCATAGCCCTTGAGTGCAACAAAATGCTGAGCACTGTGAGTTTTCCTAGCAAACCACTGAAACGGGGGGTGACATGACAGAATCATTCATTAGGATTCCAATCTGGCCGTAAAAGCGTGTGTAGATTTTCTTCACGGGCAGCACATGTCACGTACAGTGCCAACTATACACACAGCTTTGTATAAACACTAAGAGGGAGCCAAATACTATAATAAAAATACCCTGCTGTGTGTAGCCATTCACTAAAACACACATATTGTCTACTGAGAAAAAAAGAACCAAATGGAGCAGCGGCTGAGTGTAGGGATGATGAAAAATGGCTGTGAGGTGTCTAGCTTGGGCAACAAGGCAGGAGACAGAGGGAGTCACTGAGGATCGGGGCACCGTACACACAACACTGAAAACCAAATGCACGTCAGTCCTTGCCCACCTCCCCGCCACCACAAACCCTCTGCATTTTCTACAGTTACAATGGATTATGCAGCCATCAAAAAGACTGAGTTTGGTATATCTCACTCAATCTGAAGGGATGGCCAAGATGGGCTGTCAAATGAGAAAATTACTTTGCAGACAAATGACCAAGGTCTGGTCTACTGTGAAGTGGTACACTCACCCACCCCATGAGAGACAACACAGGAAAGTGGTAAGCGCATAGATTCCACGGCCAGTTTACGGAACTCCAATCCTAATTCCCACACTTTTTTTCTTTTTTTTTAATTTTGGGGGGAGGTAATTAGGTTTTTATTTATTTATTTTAATGGAGGTGCTGGGGACTGAACCCAGGCCCCCAAGCATGCTAAGAATGTGCTCTACCACTGACCTGTATCACCTCCCGCCCACCCTCTGCCCAATTCTCACACTAATTGACTGTGAAATCTTGGATAAATTCCTTCTCCTTCCTTGTGCCTTAATTTTCTGCTCTGTAAAACAGGGACAACATTACCTACCACACAGTTATCCCAAAGGTTAAAAGAGCTGATGTATGTAAAACAACAGCTGATCTACAGTAACACTGTATGTCTGTGTGTTGTTTTGGTTACAGGTTCATTGCCATACCACGGCGACGTGACACACACATACAGGCTGAGTATAAATACAGAGAAAGCGTGGAGGGATGACCACTGACTCAAGGGACATGTGAGGCAGAAAGTACCTGGGGGTGAGACTAGAGACTTGAACACAGTTGACAGCTGAAGCAAAAATTACAACAAAATCCAGTATGGGGGTGGGGGTATACCTCAGCAGTAGAGCACGTGCTTAGCAGGCACGAGGTCCTGGGTTCAATCCCAGTACATCCATTAAAAACAAATAAATCTAATTAACCCCCTCCAAAAAAAAAAAAAAACCCCAATATGGCGCTCAGTGCGTAGATTATGATAGAAGGACACTTACAGGGAGATATTAACGACCACAAAGTGGAGGTAGAGAAGAAAGACAGAGGTCCTAAACAAGATGGGGAGTGGGGAGAATGTGTTAAACCACTAAGAGGAAGAATGATCCTGGAAGAGGAGTGACCCCCTCCCTCTACTGAGGCTGTAACAAGTCTTGGAGGATTAGGGAATTTTACACAAAAATCTTCCCAGGAGAACACAACTCTGAGCGATCGTCAGGTCACCTGCACCTGTCAGATCTGTTTTCAGAAATACTTGTGGATACCAGGCCTTCTATTCCTTCGGTAAATTTAGGATTTCTATCCCAACATCAAGATAAACTACCAGAGAACAATGGACTACACAGGGTTGCCTGGTTCCTCAGAGTCCTTCTTTGGCATTATAAACTAGACAGAAATATAGAAGATGTATCGAACCAAACGAAAACCAAACAACTGAAAAATTCAAAAACAAAAATGAAAGCTCACTGGGTGAGCTCAATAGCAGATATGAGAGAGGCAGGAATCAGTGAGCTCAAGGAGGTGTCAATGGAAATTAATCAATGTGAGCAACAGAGGAAAACAGGCTGGGGGGAACAAAAAGATGGGAGCCTGAGAGTACTGTGGAACAAGAACATGAGATCTACTATTCATGTTACTGGAGTCCCGGAAAGAGAGGACAAAGTGTGGGGCTGAAAAAATATTTGAAGAATTAATATCTAAAAATGCCCCAAATTTGGCAAAGAGTATACACCACATGATTCAAAAAGCTGAGCAAACAGCAGACAAGATAAACCCCTAAAATTCCATGCCAGGGCACCCTAATCAAACTTCTGAACATTACAATGAAAAACACTTTGGAAACTCTTGATGGGAAGGATGCATTACAGACAGGAGTACCACGGGTTGAAGGGCAGGCTCCTCATCTGAAATCATGGTGGACAGAACAGACAGACATGCTTTCTCTTGTCCTAAAAGAACTATGGACCCCAAGTCTTATGTCCCATAAAAACATCCTTCAGGAATGAAGGGAACAGAAAGACATTTTTAGATGAAGGAAAGAAAAAATGTTTGTCAACAGCAGACACACCTTAGAAAAAAGGCTACATGAAATTTGCCAAATAAAAGGGAAATGTTACAAGACTTGGGTTAAAAAAGAGTTCAATTAAAAAAAAAAAGGACAACAACTTGGGACTTCAAGAATGGAGAAAGAACAACAGAAATGGTAAAAGCAGAGGTAAACAGACTATGCTTCTTAACAATTTTGGGAAAAATCCTGGACAGCTGAGGTAAAAATTACAACATCCAATAATATGGTGCTCAGTGTATGATGAGAAAATACCTGGAACACTTATCAGCAGGGAATATCAGAGAACCTAATGAAATGAAGGTTTCTACGTATCAAAGCGCTAAAATGCTGGTATCAGTCTGTGATAAATTATGTATATATAATACCTAGAGTAAAAAAAAGGACATATAATCAAAAACATCACAGATGTAGCAAGTGGAATTCTAAGAAACCTTAAAGCAACCCACAGGAAGTGGGGGAAAAAACCCAAATAACAAAAAGAACCAGAAAACAAGAGGAACAGTGTAAAGGGAACACACACAAAAAAACCAATTGGGGGTAGAGGGTGAGCTCAGTGCACGCTCGGCACACATGAGGGCCTGGGTTCAATCCCCAGTCCTCCATTAAGGGGGGAAAAAACCCACTACCCACCCCCAAAACAAAAAACCCAATTAATAAAATGGTACACTTAAGCTCTAATGTGTCAATAATTATTTTAAATTTCAGTGATCTAAATGTACTAATTAAAAGAGAGTGGCAAAATGGATTAAAAAAGTGTGACCCAACCATATGCTGGTACAAGAAACTTACTTCAAATATAATGATATAGATAAGGTTGGAAATACAATTACTGAAAATTTAAACTGTGCAAACATTAATCAAAAAATACAGTAGTGACTACATTAGCATCAGATAAAGCACGCTTCAAAGGCAAGAAAGTGCACAGGGACAAAAAGGGCCTTATATAACGATAAAAGGGTCAATACACCAAGATGACATAGCCATCCTCAACGCATATGCACCAAACAAAAGAGCTTCGAAATACCCGAAGCAGGAACTTACAGAAGTTGTAAGGAATAGACAATTTCTCAATGACACTTCAAGGCTTCATCACCCTCCCCACAACTGACAGAAATCACAGACGGAAGTCTGCAAGGATACAGAAAAACTCAGTGATACCAACAACCAAGAGGACTGGGTGGACGTTTGCAGAAACTCCACCCGGTGACAGCAGAACACACACTCTTTTCCAGAAGCCTCACAGAACATTCAACGAGATATACCATATCCTGGGTCATACAACAAACTCTGACAAATTTAAACAGTCAGACCAAACAAACAGGAAATCAGTAACAGAAAGATACCAGGTAATTCTCCAAACACTAGGAAGTTAAGCAGTATACTTCTTAATAATCCACGGGTGACAAGAAGTCTAAAGGAATCAAGGGGTATTTAGGACTGAATAAACTGCAATTAAAACTTGTAAAGTAAAACTGGAACAGTGCTGTGAGGGAACTTTGTAATGCTTAAAGCTTATATTAGAAGAGAAAAAAAAACTTCAAATCAATAATCTCAGCACCCACCTCAAAAAATAAGAGGGAAATACAACCAAAGTAAAGCAGAAGATCGTATATCATAAAGATCAGCACAGGAATCCGTGAAATTAAAACCAAAAAGGTAATAGAGAAAAGGTAATAAAATGCTTCAAAATGATCAGTAAGACTGAGAAATGTCTAGAAAGACTGACAAAGATTAAAAAGAGAATTGATGTATTTCCAAAGTCAGGCATAAACCGTGCCATTAAAAAGATAACAAGGGGATATTTCCAACAAGTCTACAAACAAACTAGAAAATTTAGATGAAATGAAACATTTCCTTGAAAAGGACACCTATCCAATTTATCCAATATGAAACAGATACTCTAAATAGTTCCATACTTATCAAAAGTATCCAGAAAATCTCCAGGCCCAAATGGTCCACTGGAGAAGGCTATCAAACATTAAAACAGTAATTAAAAACAATCACACACTGCCTTCCTGCAAAATAGGGCAGAACAATCCTTCCCAGCTCAACCTGGGAGGTCACTTTCACTCTGACACCAAAACCAGACCATGACACCAGTTAAAAACAAGCAAATGAACGAGACCGACACACCATCAATCAAGAGGTTAGAAAAAAACTTCCTCAAAAAAATACAATCAAATGAATGCTTTAATATATAATACAGATTAAAAAAACTTATACTCCACAAGCAAGTGAGGTTTATTCCAAGGAGGCAAGGCTATTTCAATATGCAAAACTCTATGTAATACATTGTATCAACAGGCTACAGAAGGAAAGGCAGGTGATCACAGCAACTGGTGGGGGTACAGCGTCTGACAAAATCCAACACTCATGCAGGGAAACAAAAATCTCAGCAAAGCAAGGACAGAGGGAAACTTTCTAGACCTGATAGGAAAACTCCACGGGGGAAAAAACCTTACAATTAACACTGTACTTGATGAGACACTGACCGTCCCCCCCTAGCATCAGGGAGCAGTCAAGGACGCTCCTTCTCACTTCGTCTACTCAGCATCCTGCGGGAGGTCCTAGGTGGTGCAGTGAGAAATGGAAGTAACAGGTATCCAGGTAGAAGGGAAGAAGTAATTTCCATACACAAAGTACCAAGGATTCAATCCAAAGACATGGCTAGAAATAATAATTGAGTCCAGCCTAGCGTGCATGGCACCAACATGCCACCCCCGAAGTTACCTTTATGTACACTTCTAAAGACCATGGGGAAATAAAGTTTTAAAAAAAAAATCGGTAAAATTTGCACATCACTTAAAAGTCCTCAGAACCTCAACCTAAACCCTAACAAAAAATGTACAGAACCTATATTCAGCTGAAAACCATGAGACGGTAATGAAATACCAAGATTTACTTAAATAAATGAAGTATCATGGTGCCGCTTCTGACAAACTGCTCTACAAGTTCAAATAAATTTCTATAAATATGTGAGCAAGACTTTTTGCATCTGAAAATTTATATGAAAAGTCAAAGGAACTAGGAAAGCTAAGTCAATTTAAATAGGAATAACAGGATTCACTTTACCTGATCTTAAGACTCACCACACAGCTCCAGCAATCAAGTAAACAGCATGGGTCAATAAAAATCTGAACATCTGGTGTTTAAAGTCACCAAAAGAAGTTTGTTTTTTAAAAACAAGTCTTAAACAGTCTTAACTGGTGCAATAAAATGTGCCCATTCGTACATGTGTCCTTATCTACTTAAATACCTGCCCTTACCTGTCTAACTCTCCTGACACCGGACAGCAGTGAATGTATATACAAGACACGGAAAGGGTCAAGGTCCTCGGCCTCAGAAACATTCCCCTTACCCAAGTAAACCAAGGAATCCCTGACAAAGTGCCGCCAGCTTGACAGAGAAGTCTCAAAGGAACTGTGTCTGCATTTCATTTTCTCCAAATCTCCACCTCCTTTTTATAAAAATTCCTGAGATAACACTGCAGTGTAAGCTGAGGAGAAAAGTGTAGCTTGAGTTTTCCTTGTGCCCAAGAAACACCGGTCTCTCCCGTGTGGATGGAATCCCACGTGCAGAATAAGGCTCTAGGCTGCATTAATTTCTAAAAACGCATCTTAACGTGACTACTGACGTTGTGTGACAGGTCTCCTCACAGCGAAGGTACTTGGGTTTCTCTTTGGTATGAACGGTCAGATGTTGCTGGAGACGTTTTCTCCTGCAAAAGATTTTCCTCAGCGGTCACATTCAAGAAGTCTTTCCCTAACAGGAGCTCTCGGAGGGTAACTGAGGTCTGCCCACTTGTGAACGGTCTCCCCACATCGGTCACGCTGACGGGGTTTCTCCCAGTATGAACCCTCTGATGCTGAGTGAGGGAGGAGCTGCGACTGAAGGCCTTTCCACACTCACTGCACTTATAAGGCTTCTCTCCGGTGTGGATGATGGCGTGGCGAATGAGGTTTGTGCTCCAGCAGAAGGACTTCCCACACTCCATGCATTCGTAGGGCTTCTCTCCACTGTGGATCCGCTGGTGCCTGGTGAGGCCGGACCTGCGGTTAAAGGCCTTCCCACACTCCGTGCACTCAAAAGGCTTCTCTCCAGTGTGGATGCTGAAGTGTCGAATGAGGTCCTTCCTGGTGCTAAAGGCTTTCCCA